TTGACACCCACAAAAGGATGCGTTTGATTGCGGCGGAAAAATATGCAATGAGACGTCCTTTTCTTTGGGCAATCGCCACGGGAGGGATGGACTTGTCGAAGGATCCATAGGCCGAGACTGCTGTCAGAACTTCTGGACATATCGGGTAATGACGGCGTCCAAATTTGCGCAGCAATACGCGGGTGTTGACTCAATGTTCGGTGAAATTGCGGATGGAGATGCCGTCGCCGAGAGGGTCGGCAAACTTCTTGATGATTCCTGGGGAAGGGCTATTACTCCTGCCCTACTGCCTCTTCGCCTAATTGACGCAGTCAGAGAATATATGTAATTGACTTCATCGCGCAAGAACGATGCATAATGCCCCCGGCAGAAATGCAAGATGCGCCGAGCGCCCAGGACGGGAAACGTGATATATCTGTGACAGGGTGAGCCACTGTCCGCAGCAGACGCGGAGATAATCGCGCGAACTCCACGAGCAAATATGAGATGCAGTGAAAAATTCATTTTTTGGAAACGTTCATCGTGTACCTGGGGCTCAGCCTTAAGTCCGAGATACGCGCGGATTCCCGGCCACTGCAAAACCACGATGGTTGATCTCATTGACAGAGATAAATGGAAAGAGCCATTGCAGGGTACATGCGCTGAGATGCAGGGGCGATTGGTTGCCGAGCGCGGCCAAGAAGAGGCTGCAGTTGCTATCAGGTTGTTGCGCTTTTTTGTAAGAACGGATTCACTGACGCTGGCTCGGCCGACGTCGGTGCATCCGTTGGTGACCAGATGCAAGGTGTCGCGCCGCAGCTTGCGCCCCCAGCTGCGCGTTCACCTGTATCCAAACAGTTATTTCGGAGGGGGCTGCTACTGGCTTAGCCGGCAGCGTCCCGGCATTGAATCCGATGAAGCCTATGGAGGTTGACGATAGTTTCTGTTCGCAGTGAGTTGTCCACTCCACTGCTCGCGCAAACGCCCCGCCCACCCATCCGCTACTTGGTTTGCGAAATCTCTTAAGACCGTGACGGTGGGTACCAAATGGCACTTGGCAACGACAGCGACGCCGACCACGACAGCGACAACGACGACGACGACGACGCCGCCGACAACGACTACAACGACGCCAACGACGTACGCCGACAACGACAACAACGACGACGACGACGCCGACGACGACGACGACGACACCGACGCAGACGACGACGACGATGACAACGACAACGACGATGACAACACCGACGACGACGACAACAACGACACCGACGACGACGACGACGTCAACGACGCCGACGACGACGACGACGACGGCAGCGACGACGACGACGCCGACATCGACGACGACGAAGACGACGACGACGCCGACGCCGACGACGACGATGAAGACGACGACGACGTCGCCAACGAAGACGACGACGAGGTAGGAGGGAGGACGACGACGGCGACAACGGCGACAACGACGACAACGACGATCACGACGAGGGAGGTGGGAGGACGGCGACGACGCGAACGACGAAGAAGGAGAAAGGACGACGACGCTGATGATGATAACGACGAGGGAGGAGGGAGGACGATGATGATGATAGCGACGAAACCTTGTGTTTTTGTTGTTTTTTTTGGACACACGATTTTGAAATCCTTCCGAAACCGATGGGTTTTGAAGGATTCCGGCATGCGCGCGCGACGACGCGCGCGTCTGCACTTCGTCCTTTTTTTGCAGGGGATTCTCGCGACGGCACATGCGCAATGGCGTTCGACAGATTTCGACACGCGCGCGCGCGAAACCCGTTTGATAGCATTTTTTGAATATCTTGAAAAAAAACTTATGGTTTTCTCAAGATTTCGCAAGAGCTCGCGCTTAAGCTTTTTTCTAGCAAATCAGTGTTGCAAAACTATGTGTTGTTGTATGTGTTTTTTGAAACTCGATTGCGAAATCTTTCCGACACCGAAGGTTTTTGAAGGATTTCGGCATGCGCGCGCGACGGCGCGCGCGTGTGCATTTCGTTTTTTTTTTTTTGTTGCAAGGGATTCGTGCAACAGTGTCATGCTAGAACAAAAAATGTCACCGCGTAGTTTTTTTGCAAGGGACCTTCAGGGGGGGGAAACTGGTTGGCGTGGGATATCGCGATCTCATATTTCGGATGGACATGTGGTCATAATCATATGGGATCTACATACCCGAAAGGGGGGCCGATAATGCCGGGGGGGGGTAGATCCTATTTTGATCTTAAGAAGGAGAATAGAGGGCTTTCAAGGTGCCGGTGCAGCGGCGCCGGCGAGCTTTGTGGCTGGGGCGAGCAATGCGCTGGCTGGGGCCTCCGGTGGCCGCTTCCTCCGCGATGGCGCGCGTGGGCAGCCCGCGCGGCGCGATGCGCCGCGGGCCCCGCCGCGGAGGCCGGAGCGGAACCGCGATGCTGAAGCGGAGCAGGAGCGGAATCCGCCGCAGCAGGAGCGGAGCAGGAGCTGCGATGCTGGATCGAGGCAAGCCTCAGCATCGCGCGGCGAACCAAGGCAGCGGGCTCCTTGGGTACATCATGGACAAGCAGGACAATGAGCTGGGAGCCAGGCATCGCGCGGGTGCACGTCCCAGTGCAACTACTGCAGGGGCCTGTACCAGGGGCCATGGGACATTGACCATCACTCTGATGATCATAAAGATGGTGGTAAATACGTATGGAATGTTGCTGAAAAGAGATAGCAGCGCTGGTCCGCCGATGGTTCTATGATTACTATTATGATTCCGTCGTACGAGGCGAAGAGAAAAGTGTCTGGCAGCGGCTCAGCCGCGGCCGCATTACCCGCTGAAGCAAGACGGGGCAATGCGCCGGCGCGTGGACTTTTACATTCATGTTTGACGCCTGGGCATGTATATGGGGATTCGTCGGTCCGTTTCGGTCTTCCCTGAGGGAGATCCTGCGGGATTATCGGCACCCTTACCCCTGGTGCTGTAAAAGTTCTTGGGGTTTGGCGTTGGGAGGGGGGCAGTTTGCCCCGGGGGGGGCCAGGAAACCGCGGTATTCCCTGCGGTGGGTTCGAAGCGTGGTGCCTACGTGTCCCGCCGCGCGGGGAGTTGTAACCCTTCTCTCCTTGCTCGCTCACTGCCGCCGCCGCCCGCAGCTATCTAGGCTGCGCTGGAGGAGCGCCCCTTGCGGGCACCGCGGACCCGCCGGCGCGAGAGTTGAAAGGTTATGGATTGTCGTCGGCGTTGTCGTCGTCCCTCCTCCTCTCCTGGGTTCTCTTGCGTACAGCTACTCATAGTCTCACGGCTCACGGAAAGCATGTCTGACATGCCCATCGTGGGCACTGAAACCGAGACGCTGACATCACCATCATATCGCACTTTTGCCTGGAACCGCTTTCTTCTGGCGAGTGACTATCCCTGCCCCTTTTCCTCTTCCTCATCCTCCGCCTCTCTCCCTTCTCTTCCTCATCCTTTTCTTCCTTCTCTTCCCCCTCCTCTTCCTCGTCCTCCGCCTCTCTCGAAACGCTGCGTGAAGCGATCTCTCGTCCGCGCCCGCGTCGTTGCGCCCGCGTTCGGGCGCCCGCCGCCGCGGGCGCGGCGGCCCTCCAGCGCCGCCAGAGGATCAGGCTTCAGTTTCGGAAGAAGAAGGAGGAGGATGAGGAGGAAGAAGAAGAAGAGGAAACAGAGGAGGAGGAGGCCGCCCAACCATTTGCACCCCGAGGCAGGTCGTAGAGGAAGGGGGAGAGGAGTGGGTTGGGCGACGGGGCCTGCGGGGCTTTTCAGTGGATGCCGTAGCGGTTGCGGATGACGTAGTACCATGCCTGTATCGACGAACGTGGCGTACCTTGTCGGTAGCGCTGTAGACGAGGTAGCGTAGTAGCCTCCGGGTTGAACATGTACTTGTACCCAGAGCGGTTCAGCTTAAGGTTGACCGTTCTCACTTTCATCATCGCGAGGTGCCACACGAATAGCATGTGGTAGTTGTTGTAGGGCAACGAGCAGCCTTCTCATACGGCGGTGCGCAATGGCGATACGTTTTTGTATTCGTCGTAGGAGGTGCGGCCCGCCTCGTAGACAGCCTCTATGGTGCGGATCCGCAGCTTGAGTTTCTTGTCCCATTTGTCCCGGCAGTTGGCTGCAATCTTGCGAGGATTTCGTTGTAGGAGCTCTTCTGGTGCCCGTTGTAGCTCAGCTTGCTGCCCTCGTAGCTCAGGTGGCCCTCGGAACTCTGCTGGCAGCCCTCGCAGCTCCGCTGGTGGCCCTCGTAGCTCAGCTGGTGGCCGAGGAGGCTCAGGTTGCAGCCCTCGTAGTTCTGCCGGTGGTCCTCGTAGCTCAGCAGTTGGCCCGGGCATCTCTGGTGGTACTGGTAGTCCAGCTGGTGGCCCTTGAAGCTCTCCTGGTGGCCCTCAGAGCTCTTCTGGCAGTCCTTGCCGAGCAAGGGGTGGTTCTCGCAGCTCTTCGGGCCCAGGTGGCTCAGCTGGTGGTCCTGAAAGCTCCGCGCGGTGTCCGTGTAGCTCAGCTCGTGGTCCTCGTGATTCTGGTGGTGGCCCTGGTGGTTCAGCTGGCTTTTTGAGGCAGATACGGGGGGGCATATCGGCGGACCTGGTGCACGGCAGCTTCCATGTCGTCATGTCCAGGGGTGTGCGGTGGTAGTAGCGTCGTCCTCGCTGGTTGGATTCGATGCTTGGAGGGGCTTCAGGTCGGGGGGGCGGGGCACTGAACACGGGGTCAGCCCTTGACCTTGCGCGGTGTAGGCTTGGGCGTCGCGACTGTTGAAGCCGCAGGCGTCCACGCCTGTGAGTGCACTGAGGCGGCAGAGCCAAGGCTGATCGTCCTTCCAGCTCATGGTTTGGTCGCACGTGCAGCACACAAAAAGCGAGAGAGAGAGAGAGAGAGAACAAAATAAAAAAGACACACTAGGCACGAGCGGCGTGGGTAACACCCGCTGCAGAGCCTTGCGGAGGCTCATATGGCAGACGCACGAGCAGGGTTTCTCTGTCGCGTTCATTCTCTCTCACGCTGCCGTTGTTGTCATTGAGCGCATTGCTCCGAGGTCATATCGCTCTGCCTGGCCATCTACCGCAAGGACTTGCCCTCCGGGAGGACGAGGGAGAGGCGGAAGGGAGGAGGAGGCTGAAGAGGAGGAGGAGGAGAAGGAGGCTGAAGAGGAGGAGGAGGAGGAGGAGGAGGAGGAGGAGGAGGAGGCGGAAGGGAGGAGGAGGCTGAAGAGGAGGAGGAGGAGAAGGAGGCTGAAGAGGAGGAGGAGGAGGAGGAGGAGGAGGAGGAGGAGGAGGGGCTGAAGAGGAGGAGGAGGAGAAGGAGGCTGAAGAGGAGGAGGAGGAGGAGGAGCAGGAGGAGGAGGAGGAGGAACAGGAGAGAGGGAGGAGAACGACAAGGGTTTCTGGAGGTTTATGGAGGGCACCAGATGTCCTCGGGGGCCTCCACGATCCCAGAAGGCCTCCAGAGGTCCCTGGAGGTCCCTGCAGAGGTTTCCAGACACACCTTGTCGGAGAGGCCAAGAGGTTGAAACAGACACGGAGGAGGCAGCACCGTGCCGTCTCGGGTCTACAGACGCTTTTTGCACATGCTCGCGTTTAAGTCGGGAGGGATGAGGAGGAGGAGGAGGAGGAGGAGGAGGAGGAGGAAGAGGAGGAGGAGGAGGAGTGGGAGAAGGAGGAGGAGGAGGAGGAGGAGGACGAGGAGGATCGGGCTTTTGTAGCAGGGTGCATTGACGTCCAGGCTACAATCCGCGAGTTGTGCCGATGGCAGCGCGTCGCTTGGACATGGTTCCAAGATCATTATTATACATTTGGTTGCCTCGACGGAGTGCAGGCATGTCGGGTTGCGTGTGCATTGGGCATTGGCGCAGCCGCCAGGAGCGCCTCGTTGCGGCACGGCATTCCCGCTGTCTTCCTTTCAGCCCCTGCGGATTCATCCACGGCAGAGTTTGGCATGTAGCCAATCCGCAATCAGACACACGGTGCCACACGTGGTTGTGGAACCTCTCCCGCGCGCACGGGCGGGTGTTAGACAATGACGGGTTCGCTGAGGCCGTGCAGGTCCGCCTCGGGGCCGGGGGGCCGACCGACGCCGGCGTCTGCGGCGCCCGCGGGGTGGCAGTGCTCGACGCCAGCGGTTGTCACGCTTCCTGCTGCGGTATGGGCGAGGCTACTCGGGGCCACAACGCCGTGCGTGCCCTGCTCTACGACTTCTCCCTAGCTGGTGACGACGCGACTTAAAAAAGAAACTGGTGGATCTCCATGAATACACTAAATGGGGGGGGGGTCCAAAACCCCCCCCCCCTCCCCTCTTTAAGGTGGGGGGCGGTGGGTCACGAACCCCCCCCCTACTCTTTGTACCTTGGGCGGGGGTTTCGGAACCTCGGGGCCCCCCCCTCCCCCCCTTGGCGCTGGAAAGGGTGGGGGGGTTCGGAGCCCCCCCCCCTCGTGTAGGGAGTACGGAGTTGGGAGTAGGGAGTGGTGAGTAGTGAGTAGTGCATTAGTGCGTAGTGAGTAGTGTGTATTGGGCAGTGAGTAGTGGGTAGTGACTGGCGAGTAGGGAGTAGAGAGTGGGGAGTAGTGAGTAGTGACTAGTGAGTAGTGTGTACTGATAAGTGAGTAGTGAGTGGCGAGTAGTGAGCAGTGAGTAGTGAGTAGCGAGTAGCGGGTAGTGAGTACTGAGTAGGGAGTAGGGAGTAATGAGTAGTGGGTAGTGAGTAGTGGGTAGTGAGTAGTGGGTGGCGAGTAGAGATTAGTGAGTAGTGAGTAGTGGGTAGTGCGTAGTGCGTAGTGAGTAGTGAGTAGTGAGTAGTGAGTAGTGAGTAATGAGTAGTGAGTAGCGAGTAGTGAGTAGTGCATAGTAAGTAGTGAGTAGTGAGTACTGAGTAGTGCGTAGTGCGTAGTGAGTAGTGAGTAGTGAGTAGTTATGAGTAGAGAGTAGTGGGTAGTGGCAGTGGGTAGTGAGTAGTGGGTAGCGAGTAGGGGGTAGCGAGTAGTGAGTAGTGAGGAGCGAGTAGGGCGAAGTGAGTAGTGAGTAGTGAGTAGAGAGTAGTCAGTAGTGATTAGTGAGTAACGACTAGGGAGTAGCGAGTAGTGAGTAGGTAGTGAGTAGTGAGTAGGGAGAAGGGAGTAGTGAACAGTGAGTAGTAATAAGTGGGTAGCGAATAGTGGGCAGTGAGCAGCGATGATTGAGTTGTGGGTAGTGAGTATTGACTAGTGACTAGGCACTATGTAGTGACTAGTGAGTAGGGAATAGTGAGTAGTGAGTAGTGACTATGTAGTAAGTAGTGAGTAGTGAATAGTGGGTAGCGGGGAGTGAGTAGTGAGTATTGAGTAGCGAGTATGGGAGTAGCGAGTAGTGAGTACTGAGTACTGTGTAGTCAGTATTGTGTAGAGAGTAGCGAGTAGCGAGTAGTGGGTAGTGAGTAGTGATTTGTGGACAATGAGTAGTTTGTAGTGAGTAGTGGATAGTGGGTAGTGGGTAATGAGTAGTGATTTGTGAGTAGGGAGTAGTGAGTAGTGCTTAGTGAGTAGTGAGTATTGAGTAGTGGGTAGTGAGGAGTGAGTAGTGAGTAGGGAGGAGGGAGTAGTGAGTAGGGAGTAGTGAGTAGCGAGTAGTGGGTGGTGGGTAGTGAGTAGTGGATAGTGAGTAGTGAGTCGTGAGTAGTGAGTAGGGGGTATTGAGAAGTCGGTAGCGAATAGCAAGTAGTCAGTAGTGGGTAGTGAGTATTGAGTACTGAGTACTCTTTGGGGCTGGGGTTAGTGGTTGGGGTTAGGATGAGGGGTTTGGTTTAGGGTGAGGACTAGGGGTCGGGGTCCGGAGTCAGGGGCCGGCGTGCCGAAAGCATGCTAAATCAATGCGGGTACACTGCGTGGTGAGATGATACTGCGGGTTCCAAACGAGATTGTTACTAAAACCCCATTGTGTGCAAGTGATATCAGCAAATGCGCGCGGACACAATATGTCAATGCTGTTGTTGGGAAGCCAAAGTGTGTATATGTCCAAATGTTGAAGCCCTCGCAGAGCGAGTGTGTTTGGTATGGCGTATGTGCGCGCGTGGACTTTGCGCAATGCTTCGCGAGGGAGACTTGAAGTACACCCGAGAAAACCATTCAATGGATGTTTGACTTGTTCGTAGGTGCAGGTGCCTCAATCGGCCTTCCTCCCGCCGTAGTTTCAATCGAATGTACGTTTTATCCCATGATGCTTCTTATATGTTCCTGTATATGTATATTGATGTCTCTTTCTCTCTCTCTCTCTCTCTTTCTCATGTCTCTCTCTATATATATATATATATATATATATATATATATATATATATATATATATATCACTGCCTATACTCCCTGTGCGTATGTATACATACATTAGACATACATACATACATGCACGCATGCTTTCTTTATTCCTCTCTCTGTCTTTCCCTCTCTCGATATATCGGGGGATTGGGGGGTCAGATCGGTGTGAAACGGACCCCCCCCCACTGGGATAACGATTTCGGATTCACGTTCGTGTCGCGCGTGCAGCCGAGGCGAAGCTGCGAGGGCGGGCGAGAGGAATGAATCCGCTGCTGCCAGGGCGAAGCCGAATCAAACGTTGCTGTCCCCCGGGTTGGCCAGCAGAGGCTTTGTCGTGTCCCGTTGGTGTCCCGACGGTGTCCCGAGGGTGTCCCGATGGTATCCCGTGGTGTCTTGTGGTGTCCCGTGGCGCGGGGGTGCCCCGTGCTATGCTATATGATATGATACGTTGCAGTAGCGATAGTGAGAAAGATAGTGCGATCGATAGTGGAAATCGATAGTGAAATCGATCAAATGATTGGTAGTGAGGTCGTTTAAATGAGAACGATATTGATATTGATTGAGTGGGATCGATGGTGAAGTCGAACGTGAGATCGATCGTGTGTTTTATTGTGGGATCTATCGTGAGATCGATTGAGCGAGATCGAAATCAGATCGATAGTGAGATCGATAGAGATGTCAAGAGTGAAATCGATATTGAAATCCATTGAATGGCATCGATCGTGATATCGGTAGTGACATCGATGATGACATCTGTATTGGGGCCGATAGTGAGAGCGACCGTGAGATCGATCGTGAGATCGATAGTGATATCAATAGCTTAATCTTAATCGACAGCGTGATCGATAGTGATATCGATCGTCAGATCAAGAGTGGGGGGGCGGGGGGGGGGGGCTCGGACCCCCCCCCCCTTTGAAAGGAGGGGAGGGGGGGGGTCCCCGACGACGGATCGGGGAAGGGGGGGGAGGGGGGAGGGTCCCCGACGACGGATCGGGAAGGGGGGAGGGGGGGGGGTCCCCGACGACGGATCGGGGAAGGGGGGGGGGTCCTAACCCCCCCCCCTCTTGGGTAGATTCAGCGGCGCACCCTCCTTAAAAAAGATCCTCAAGGTTTGATCCCTTCCCGTCCAGCGTTTCGCCCTGCTGTTGTGGTGTCTCCCGCTCCCCTGTCGGGCCGCGCGGCGGCGCTGGACGTCGGAATCACCTCCGTGGAGGCCGCGGTTGGCCGAGACTCGCCCGATGAGACGTGCCAGCGGAAAACTCGAGAACGCGAGCCCTTCGTGGACGCGCTGGCCTACCAGAACTTCGTCGGCATGCCTGCGGTATGGACGACGTTTGGCCGCCCGCACCCGGGCGCTCTCACCGCGATCCGTGCCATCGCGAGACGGGTCGCCAGGCGGCGCGGGCTCGCGCCTCAGAAGGTCGTCGTGCGCTGGTTCTTGCGCAACCTGGGCGCTGAGATTGCCAGGCGTGCGGCGCGCATGAGCCTGGCGTGCTAGCCAGGAGGAGGAGGAGGCGGAGGAGGAGGAGGAGGAGGAGTAGGAGGATGAGGAGGAGGAGGGGGAGAGAGGGAGGAGGAGAGGAAGGATGAGGTGGAGGAGGAGGAGGAGGAGGAGGAGGAGGAGGAGGAGGAGGAGGAGGAGGAGGAGGAGGAGGGGGGAGGAGGAGGAGAGGAGGAGAGGAAGGATGGAAGAGGAGGAGGAGGAGGAGGAGGAGGAGGAGGAGGAGGCAGTGGCCGAGGAGGCGCTGGCCGGCGAGTTGGGCAGGCCTCCCGGGCTCTAGCCTGGTGC